CTGCTGAACTGCTCAACCATGGCTTTCAGTGGGAGGGGGAGATGGCAGCAGCAGCCATCACCTCCTGCTACAACACAGGAGTGGAAGACAACAGGCAAGCAATACGGTTGTGAGCTGCACTGGTGTTGTATTTAAATACAAGCACTGAGAGGGTTAAGGACAAAGTCTCAGTGCCCTTGCACATCTGGGAAGGTGGCTGGACCTGGGCTCCCATCTGATGCAGTGAATGCTCCCAGACACAGTTCAAGCCAAGGCGATCTGGCAAATGAGCAGAGTGTTGGATTGATTTTATTACCATTGTTCTCATAAACCCAGACCTTCCTAAGCACAAGGGAGAATTACACTAATTATACTAATTAACTTCCAGGAGCCTCTCCTGTCCCCACTGCAATACTGAGGTATTACTTGCCTATTCCTCCACGTTTGGCAGCTGAGAACAATGGATGCTTTCTGTATCTTTAACCTGCACCCCATTTTCCTGCTATGGGAAATCTGCTCTCTACTACAGAAGCACTCCAAGTATTTGCCAGTTAAACATTGTCTTGAGGAACACCTCAGTGCCACAGAAAGAACATCTCATGCCTCCAGAAAAGGGCACTGACAGCACACACTAAGCAAAACTCACAGCTACATAGTGAGCGAGGAGAAAGCAAAGTATCCCAGAACAGTTTTTCCTTCAGCAAGCTTTGTGTAAACAGAGTATTTGAAAGATGCAGGTGTTCTGTAGAGGAAAAAAATGCCCTGATTGCACAAAGCATATGCCCAAGAAGCCAAACTAAGAAATCCCAATGAAGGGAAGAAATCTCACTTCAAAATGCTTTGCAGTGTCAAACCTGCTCTTTGAAAGCATTTCTCCTTGCATGCAAGGTACCATAATAAGCCATGCCTGAGGATCTTGGAAACTAAGGATGTGCTTAGGTATGTCCCGAAGGATTTCAAAGGACAGCCCAAATCCAGGACTGTCAGACAATAGGTAATAACAAACAAGAAATGTAGACTTGGCCAACTCTTCACAAGATCAACAGAAAGGCTGCCACCCACGTGGCATTTCTGCTACAGCTTCCACCTTCACAAATACCTCCTGCCAATCCTCACCAGGAGGAAGAAAGATGCTGCAGAAGTCTGTTAAACTCCAAGGATGCTCATGGATACTCATCTAGAACTTAACCCAGCTGTGGACCAAGTGTCTGGAAAGGGCAGAGTAGCTTGAGGAGCAGGCTGGGAGGCAATGCCGTGCCCTGCTGCTGCCATCAGTGAAGGGTCTTGGTGCTCATGTATGAATGGGCAATCTCAACCCACCTTTTGACTCTCCTCCACATAGCTTTAATAATGTGGCAAGGAAAGAGCTCTAGATGCACTGCATTTAAATTGGACTCTCTTTTTGCCAGGAGTATTCAAAGAGACTGATATCAGGAGAAAACTTCCACAAAAACATCAATATGATTTCTCCATTCGTCAACTTAAAACGCTGATCTTATCTCGGCTAACTGAAATTTGAGGAGATATGAATTCTGCATATTCAGATAAACTGCTGACACAGGGCTGCTTAGATCTCACACACACTTTTTTTCCCCCCTGAAGACCCTGAAAGAACACAGAACAAGCAGTATTCAAAGAGACTGATATCAGGAGAAAACTTCCACAAAAACATCAATATGATTTCTCCATTCGTCAACTTAAAACGCTGATCTTATCTCGGCTAACTGAAATTTGAGGAGATATAAATTCTGCATATTCAGGTAAACTGCTGACACAGGGCTGCTTAGATCTCACACACACTTTTTCCCCCCCCCTGAAGACCCTGAAAGAACACGGAACAAGCAAACATCATGAATATTTACAGCTTTGTATTTCCCTTTGACATAGCAGCAAAGCAGAGATCTGCATCGAACAAACGCTGTTGCAAGGCTTACCTTTAATAATGCCTTTGAAGGCATCAAGTACAAACGTGATGGATATAAAAAGTGCAATTATTTCTTCTGTTGACCTGTGGGGAAAAAATCCCAGGAATTAATACAGCTGTTAGCAGAGTTTGCATTCAACTCCATTCAAAGGAAAAATCAGCATATTCATGCATTTACATGAAAATGTACCAGTTTTAGTTAGACTCCACCTCAAGAAACAAAACCCAGTGAATCTTTAAAAGCTTCTTTCAAGCTGGAACAATAAGCTGAAGTGATACCAGCCTCACCTCGCAAAATACATTTAGCAGCAAGTTTGTAATTAAGGAGCTGGTGGAATACGTAATTTTTCCATTTGCTGAATAATCTGAGCAAAACAGGACTCCTTGAAAACAGCTACCTTTTAAAGAGCTTCATCAGAAGACTGAAATTAAAGAGGGAGTACATCACAAGGAAAAAGCTGTTCCACAGTCCAATCCAGGCATAGAAAGCACTGAAATCCAAGTTGTAATCATCGCAGATTCCTCGGATGACTGCAAAAATTAAGTATTCGTGTGTTAGATCAAACTTTTGTCGTTACCACCCTGCAATTCCCATCTGCTCCATGGCAAAAAGAACCAATTTCAAGACTTTACTACAATGCACTTAGGGCAGACAGCAGTAAAACACTCCCATATGGACCAACCCAAGTGGTTCTCCTGCCACCCCTTTGCTCCACTAGAAATAAGGTTTCCAGGGTGCTTCTTCCTTCTCCCAACACAGCTCAAAGCATAGCTTCAGGGATCAAGGCCACAAAATCAGCCCTTAGAATTTCCTCTTGTTGACATTTTGGGATGCTGCTGAGCAAGGGATCTCGTACACGTTTTTCACAGAATCCCAGACCATTAGGGATTGGAAGGGACCTCCAAAGCTCATCCAGTCCAATCCCCCTGCCAGAGCAGGAACACCCAGATGAGGTTACACAGGAAGGTGTCCAGGCGGGTTTTGAATGTCTGCAGAGAAGGAGACTCCACAACCTCTCTGGGCAGCCTGGGCCAGGGCTCTGGCACCCTCACTGAGAAGAAGTTTCTTCTCCAATTTCAGTGGAACCTCCTGTGTTCCAGTTTGTGTCCGTTCCCCCTTGTCCTATCATTGTTTGTCACCGAGAAGAGCCTGGCTCCATCCTCGTGACACTCACCCTTTCAATATTTATAACCATGAATGAGGTCTCCCCTCAGTCTCCTCTTCTGCAAACTAAAGAGCCCCAGCACCCTCAGCCGCTCCTCAGAAGGGAGATGCTCCACTCCCTTGATCATCTTTGTAGCCCTACGCTGGACTCTCTCCAGCAGTTCCCTGTCCTTCTTGAACTGAGGGGCCCAGAACTGGACGCAATATTCCAGATGCGGTCTCACCAGGGCAGAGTAGAGGGGGAGGAGAACCTCTCTGCCCTACAACCACCCCCCTCCTGATACACCCCAGGATGGCATTGGCCTTCTTGGCCACAAGGGCACAGCGCTGGCTCATGGTCATCCTGCTGGCCACCAGGACCCCCAGGTCCCTTTCCCCTACACTGCTCTCTTTTGTACCATGTGTACTCAGTCACTGCATTCTGGGCAAGACCTCGTGTCTTAAACCTTTCAAGATAGTCATAGCCCATCTGATTGTCTCTATGGTTATTGAGTTTGCTCCTTTACACCTCTGGCTCGGTACTATCAGCTTGCAGCTGTAACTGGAAAGTTTTTCATCACACCTCCCAAGACCAATTAAAAAACCAAACCAAAACATCAACTAAAAAACTTTGTCTCAGGCTCTTATCCTCAAGTTGGTTAAACACAGCCCCATGAGAAATCCATCAGATGGAAAAGACTTTCTCCTTAAAGCAGAAGAAATGCTTGTTCTTCACAAAATGTTTTTTTCTAAGCCAAGACGATTCCTTCAGAAACCAACTTGAAAACTGAATAAAATTCCTCCCTGATCCCTTAGCACCAGAAGTAGCCCTTCAGTATTGTTTTATTAAACAAATGCAACTAAAGCTCTAACAGGATTGCAAGGTTATCATGCAAAGTCTCATTTCACTGATTGCAGTCACGCTGATCCCTGATGTACACGTTTAATAGACTTACCATTAATGTAGAGCGCTAAAGGAGCCGTGGTTAGGAGTACAACTAAAGGTTGCCCCGAAAAAAGTGCGTAAAGCAGCCCTCCAATACACTGGCCAACGATTGTCTTCTGCACATCTACAAGTAATTAGGAAGGATGGAGACAAACAGAGTTTGAAACCAACACCTCCCCGACCGAGGAGCATTCACATGGCACAAAAACCAACAGCAAATGAGTAAGGGCAATGCTTAGAGGGTACAGAGCTATGATATTGTGAAAGTTAAAAGGGACCCTTTACCAGGCAACTTGTACCAATAGTTCAGGATGCCATCAGGTTTCCAGATGTTGAACTATGAAGGTTACATGGGGTTCTTTTTGTTTGGTTTGGATTTTTGGGGGCATTTGGGTGGTTTTTGGGGTATTTCCTTCTGTGGGTTTTCTGTTTGGGTTTTGGTTTTTTAGTATTTATTTAATTTTAAACAGTTATAAAAACATAACCAGTGTTTATGGAGGCCTTCAGGATGAGATTTCAACTAAGACTCCCGTGAACTGTAGCAGCGGTATGAACTGCTTCAGGGCCACAACTGGGATAGAGCAAAGCATCCAGGTTGGATACTGGCAACCAAATTCACATCAAAAGCACAGGAGCTCGTGCTAGGGAAAACGCGCAGATAACTACACAGTTATCATGGGAGCATCATTTAAAAATACATTAGCATGTATCTGTATCAGTCCCAGTCAGATGACACTATCCAAAGCAGTGTCCAAGGTTTCTAGCCTCCTGAGAAAAGGAGTTATAATCATAACAATTAGAAAAGCCTTCAGTGGTGTTTGATTCATCAAAAAAAAACCTATCAAGATTTCCTGTGATCACAGCTACTCAGCTTGACTACGTGGAATCCTATCCCAGGTGCACAAAAACCAATGAACTCACCAATAGCTCCTCGGGTATTTTCATCATTGAGCGACCCAAATGCGATGGATGGAAGGAGGCAGGCAAAATACAGGAATATCATAGTCGTGATGTATTTTCCTATAGCTTTGTTGTTTCCAATAACACCTAGTGCAAACCAAACAGAAGTCACGTTAGTGCTGCCTACCTGCAAAGCATTGAAACCCTACTTGCATCAGCCATATCTACCATTAGTTTCTTTAATGCTGAAAGGCAGAAGCAGGAACTCAGTCCACACTTCAGTCTTAAATGTACAGGCAGGTCTTTAACATTTTCTTTTGCACAACCACGCTCTTTTATTCATCAGGGACCTGAAGCAGAAGCACCAACATGCCACCAGACCGCTTCAACAGCCATTTCTGGCATCTTCAAAACAGGAAATACTGGAAACCTTTTGTTCAGTTTTGCCAGCCCCAAAAAGCTTGGAAGAGGATCAAAGCAGAAGCCATAAGTTTAGGGTTCATAAACCCTCCACCCTCTGCCTTTTCCAGACCAACTTTATAGGTATTCTTGGCTATGCCCCTAACGACCTTCACGACGATCACTTGTCTTTGCAACTCATGATGCTTTGGGCAGGAAAACATGAAGCACTTCATATTTTCCCTAGGCAGAAATCCGAGGTTATAGGCTTGAATCAATAATATGCTGTGCCGAGCCAATTAGTGTTAGCAGACTTACAAAAACAAATAGCACAAGAGGTCAGGAATGCGTACATTAAGAGTTTTTGCTTTTTAAAAAAAGCCCTTCTGAAAGAATGGCTTGGTTTTCCATCCACTCACCCCCTTCTCATCTCCGTCGGAAAAAACACACCGGGCCAAAACAAAAGCAGCCAGAAAGAGAATTAAAGTGTCATAATATGAATTTAAGGGCCTCTGAAGTAGCTTCCCTTCCCTTTCCTGTTTTCAGGCCGTTGTGCATCCCCTGTGAGCTCATATCGCACAAGAGAAAGGATGAGAGATGACAACAGCTGATATTGCTCGAGGAGAACATAAGTTTTTCCACAGATCAACCTCTCCGGGGAGGCTGCATCAGAGAAGACCTCTGCAGAGAAAGCCTTGAAACAGCCTTTGACCTGTCTGTGCCACCATCCTCGACACTCTTGCTGCCAGACACTTGGACAAGCTTGGAGTTACCCAGTTCCCAGTTTTCTGGAAGCCTCCTAAGCAGTGAACTCCCACATAAGCATCTGTCACTGAGCTCTCAACTGCCCATCTAAGCCTTTGCTAGCGTTGGTCCCTTGCTGAGGGAGCTACAAGCCAGTGAGTCGAATTAGAGAAGAGAGAGCTTTGAATTCAAGGCTGTTGGTGCAAGCCTTGAGGAAATCCGGACATTGCCACACCAGACTATCACTGGAATGAAAAGCACTTGCTCAATGACTTTGGGATCTCATCTAACATCTTTTATCTGTAGTGCAGAGATAAGGACAGAAGGAAGATGCAGAAAACAAAACTGATGTGTAATGAACAGGTATTTAATGAATAAAGGACACCTTGTGATGGTTCCTGTCTGCAGGCACAAGAGGAGCAGACATAAATAGGACTTCTGATGCTCAGCATCTTCAAGAAAAGAGTAGGCACTGAATCTTGACAGTAGACTTCTCAAGCATGCAAATATGAGCCTGACCTTCCCGGAGCTGCAGGACCAGTTGTTTTAAGGCAGATTCCTTTCTATTTATTGCGAAGATTCAGAAACCACAGACGACATTCCTGACCACTCCTGGCAACCAAACAGCCTAAAATTTACTTCTTGTAGATGAAGCTCTCTCATGGGATCTCAAGTCCTACAGCTGCAGGCTCCTACCTCACACTCCCAAGTGTCTGAGACCTTTGGAGAAAAGGAAAGGCTTGGCAGGGCAGGCAGTGAACCAAGTGGTAGTTTTATAAGTAGAGATGGTCACATCCTTGTTCTGAGGGCTCTGCTGCTCCAGAATCCTGCTTTTTGGGTAAAGGAGTCTTTCCAGCATGAAAAGTCAGAGGCAACAATGCCTGAAAGCTCTGAAATCATTCATAAGATGACAGATAACCAGGACCAGAGAAGTAATATTATAAAAAAAAGCTTATTTGCTAAGCAAAGAAAGCTCTAAGTAATGAGGTGCTTTCCAAAAAACTTTCAAGTAGATAAACCACAGTATGAGAGGGCAGAAGGAAGGAAGAAGCCTTGAAGAGCATCACAAACTGGTGCACAGCTTCTAGTTTCAGCCTCCATCCTTGCAAAGCAAGCAGCAGGAGACCCCTAGCTGGTCACAGAGGTCCTTTTGGACCCATCCACGATATGGCACGACTTCCAGTACCCAAGCGCTTCCTTTAGTCCGTAATGAGCCACACGAGATCCAAGGAGCAAAGAATCCCTGGGGGTGGGCAGCAAAATTAACCTCATAATGGAGACAATAACTACATCTGATTAAACATACCCTTTCACAAACATGATTAATCGCTCCTTAATTGCGGTAAAAATCATGAGCAAATACAGCCTCTTTGTAGAGATTCACCCGAGAGCAGCATTAAAATGCAGCGTTAATCACAATTTACCTTTCGCCTTTTCAAAATTCAACATCTGGCTAAGCATTCCCAGGGTCTATTTTCAACCCAGGGTTGACATAACTTCATTTCAATGAAGGTGGGCTGCATTATGCTTGCATTTCATCTGCAGCAGGCTCAGAAAGCCATTGAAAAATGTGTCACTCCGACTGCAGAACGCGAATGTGCAGCCGAAAAATCAGCGCTCGGTCCAGCTGTGACATTTGAGTAGCTGACTATTACAGCAGCAATCCCTTGAAATTAAGGCACATCCACACGTTGACATGGGAAGCAATTACATTCATCATTCTGTTCAGCACGTTCATCGACATGACAGTCCTATTTTACTTGCTTGAATTTCCAAAATGTCACAGTTTTAAAGACAAGCTGAGAGTTTCAGAGAGAACTGCAGCATTGGCTGGCCTCACTTTGCTTGGCATTCTGCATTAATAAGTTAATGAAGTGATCCAGAGACTGGGACCAGAGCTCCTTAAGTCCACTAAATAGTACGTTTACTGAATCAAACCCAAGCAGATGGATGTTCTATGAAATATCTGACTGTTCATGCTCCTTCCCAATTCTCTGAAATACCCAATGCAAAACACGTTTAATTAGACTGATCTGCAGCGCAGCAGCGAGGATGTGCCTATTAAAGTCTTGGTTTTTTTTAAAAATCACCTCTCAGTAGTAAAAACGCAAAGTAAGAGGATCTGTTCAT